AAACTTTGGGGACAAAAAAAAAGGAGGTCAAAAATAACCACATGAATTTCAGAGAAACTGAATAAAATATTTCCACAGCAATATGCCATCTTGCTTACCTAAAATTCCCATAGAAACTTCTCATTTAAAAAAAATAAAAATCAGTTCTATACTGTGTTCTTTCAGGTTCTGAAAGTATACTACAAAGTTTTCTCTGTGTATACATCGAGARTAGAAATTTCATATGAATCACTATTTCATGTCAGAATATATAAAGAGGAAATAAGAACAAGGAGTGTTATAAAGATCAAAGAAAAATGAATTTAACAGCTACATTAACCATTAAGTTGGTTCAGTGATTAAGTTTATTGTCCTTTTTGTTTTACAAATAAATGTGGTATGTTACCAGATTTATCATTACCATGCAGTTTGTGGGGAATACAGGTGGATGTCATAGAATTGTGGAAATGGCATGTTGACACAAAAGAGGATTTTTATTGAAGTGTAGTACCAAACCATCACACCAATTCCAAAATTGGAACTAATTTGAGAGAGCAATTAAATTTTATGTGGATTTGGAATCATATCAGCTTGTTTTTTTCCAACTGCTTTATTATGACTTCAAGAGACAAGATTTTTTTAAAGAATCCATTAAAAATTCATCAATTGCAATTGTTCTTTTTACCTTGCTAATTCCTTGATCATTTACTGTACCACATATGTCTCTCTCTTTCTTATACTCACACACACACACACACACACACACACACACACACACTCACATATATACCCACTCCTTCAAGAAACAAGCTACTTTGATATTTCTGAATTCGTTTCACTTGCAGTACTAGCCCCATTTGCCCTGAATATTCTAATCCTAATGATTTGGGCAAGTCAATCCTGTGGCTTTAGTGGGAGGGTGATTCTCATTGGCTTTCAAAAAAGCAATACAAAGATGTGGGCCCTTTCCATGTCATGCAAAGGCACCATTTCAGAGAGCAATTTGTTACTGATGTGCTGTCTAGTTAACGCTGTGGGGATTGCCATTTAAGAGTAAAGGAAAGTGGGGTAACTGACATCTGCTTATATCCTCACCTATATGCGACTGGTACATGATGAGGGATATAGTGCCCCGGATTAGCAGCTGCAGTATTTTCACTAGTTGAGTTATGTGTGCTAATACTTGCTGTAGTTCTAACTACCTAATTCTGAGCCTGGTCCTCCATCATCATCACTGATTATGGAGTTAACCTCTACCCATTAAATGAATGTCTTTTGTTCTTAAATTAAAACAAAACAAACAGCCAACAACAATAACAACACATACACACACACAAAAAAATAAAAACAGAAGTATCCAAGTAGTGAAGAGATAGAGGGGATTAACATTTAAACACTTTATACTCAGACCTGGGTTCAAGTATTGCTGCTGTCTTCACTGAACCCCTTGTCTGATTTGCACAGTAGACTCAATAATACTGCAGAGAACTGAACTTGGCATTAGAAAGTGATCGGTACCTCTAGATTCTTGTTACTGGCTTAGAGAATTCAAGGTTGCATGTGGAATTGATGATTATATCCTTCGGTTCATAAAGTGCAATTTATTTGATTCTGATGCTGTGTTTTCCCCAGACAATTAAGCTAATTCACTAAGGAGCATTCACAAATAAAGAGACTGATGATCCTTGTAAACTAGGAACACCAATATGAATTCAAAGTTTATATCTTAACAGCTGGCATGCCAAGTCCTACTTTCAAAGTTTCCTGCAACCAATAAGTAACTCTGATGACTGTTCACCTCCTCTGCTTTTCATAGCTCTGTTTTCAATCTCAGGCCGCACCTTCCTARTACCTTTTCTCCCTACCCATGTGCCTTACTTATAGACATTTTACAAACTATCCTTCAGCATTCCCCTCATGGAAGCTTCAGGAAACTGCCCTTGGTGTAAGGAGTTTGGTCACTTGGGCTCTTTAGTCTCTCACCACATTCAGTTGCCTGGTTCAAGGTACAACGCAAACTGAGGTGCACAGTTAATAGTAGCTCCTAGTTTGCTGGAACATGGAAACTTCACTTTAAGGCTAAGTTCTTAATGTTTATGCTCTAAATGGCTCTCTGGGATTACTGAGGTGGTATCATACATAGATACTGTCCTAGGACAACTCATACATTTGGTGGTTTTGAACATTGTCCCAAAAGTGACACCCAGGGTTGCTAGATTTAGTCAACAAAATGCAGGACACACAATTAAATTTGAATTTCAGACAAGAATTGTTTTTTAGTATCAGGCTATTCTATACAATATTTGGTAATCGCATAATACAAAAGTGGAGGTGACAGACCATAGGGTATAGTCCTCTAGAGCTTTGTCATTTGCACAGGATCCTCTGCAAATACGCTGAAGGAGCACTACAGGGTAATCAGCCTGCAGAGCCTCTCCTCACAGCAACTTCCACAGCCACAAGACCACAGTGCTGGTTGCTTAGGAATTGAAAGACACACTGGCTGTTTGATATGGTGACATAAGAAGACATATGGATCTGGCCTTCATCTTTGGTGTCTGGCCAGAGCTCTTAAAATTATTTTATGTGATAAGTGATAGGAGCATCTTTTGTAATAATATTTGGGTTTTGGCCCCAGCTCCTAAAACAGCTCAGGAGGGATATAATGAAAGGAGCAAGTCCCTTTAAATGACACCTGAGTTTATATTAATGAGGGGATTTTTGGAAAGCCTCTAAGGATAGGAGATTGGTTTCCAGGGAAACTAACTATGTGACTGGAGGACTAGAGGCTGCAGCCTCACCCCTGATCTCCAGGGAAGGTAAAGGGGCTGAGGTTGAGTTCATCACCAATAGCCAATTACTTGACCAATCATGCCTACATGATAAGGTCTCTACAGAAAAAAAAAAAAAATGGAAGGAGTTCTGTGTCCACAGGGACCCTTCCAGACCTCACCTGTATGTCTCTTCTCCCTGAAATTCATTTTTATTCTTTAAAAATATCATTTATAATAGATAGGTCATGGTAAGTAAACAAAGTCCAAGTGTTAACAATCCAAAGAAACTACTCCCTCCAATTTTTAAAAATTATAACTAATGGAAAACTAAGAAATATAAATGCCCATTTATTTTTATTGTATATTAAACAAACTTAAATATTTAGCATATAAAGACATATGTATACATGTATTACACATGCATTGTATATGTATAGATAATGCATACTTACAATATGTGATATATGACATATATATATATATATATATATATATATATAATAGGCTTTTTATGTAGTGATATGTATCAAAAGCTTAAAAATATTTATACAAAATCATTTGCCTCCAGAAATTTATTATAAGGAAATAGTTTAAATATTGAAGAAAGTGTGGCTATAGTATTTGTTTCCAAACAGTAGTACTACTCTAGAATTGAAACAACTTCAACGTCCAATAATGAAAAACATGATTAAATTTTGGCACACCATTAAGTGGAATATTATTCAATCACTTAAATAACATCTATAAAGATGTTATAAATCATGGGTAGGCAATGTAAAAGTAACTGGTTATAAAAGAAAAAAAGTTATAGAATAGTAGACTTATATTTTTAAAAAGCTTCATTGAAAATACATTATCCAAATGTATCAAATTTTCAGCTGTGGAGACTATGGGTTAATTTCTTTTTTCTAATGTATGTACATGTTTCTAATTGTCTATAAGGATTGTGTATGATTTTTAGAATTGTAAGAAATTTAGTAAAGTTAAAAAATAATTTCATTCACAAGAATAAAAACTAGGAATACATAGTTTTTTCTTTAAAAAGAAAAGAAACAACAAATAAGAAAAAGAAAGTAGCCTTTCTGTATTCTAGGGCCTCTTTCTCTTTGTCACCAGCTCAATTTAAAGTAATTCACCAATAGATGTCACTGTTACACTTCTTTCTTTAAACACATCTCAGGATGTACAACTTGACTTTTCAGGTAGGGAGGACAAAGACAAGACTTTACAAATCCCCATCACCTAAAGAACTATCAATCTGTCATCTTCCAGCTTTATTCTAAACATCTGGTTATAAAAATTAGTATCAACTGCTTTTCTAAAATAATATGCAGTGACTATGGTTTTATGGTTACGAAAAATACAAGGTTCTCCTATTCACTGGTTACCACCTACATGATGCACCTAACTCAAGAATTTGAAAACCCATGTTGCTGCCTATGTGATCATAAGTCTAACCCGTGCTCATCCTTGCATAGTTCCAGGTTGGAAAGTAATAAACCAGAGAACAAGATTATCAACAGGGCATTGAAGCTAACAGCAGAAAAAGAAAAACTAAAATGCTTCTTGGATTCCCAGTGCTCACCCCCTCTGCCACAGGAAACTGGGTTGGGGAAAGGAGAGTGGTGAGAACCACGACAGTCTGGTCTATTCTATCAGGCCATCTAAATGTGAAAGTAGCTAAATCCCAGCCCAATGCTTTGTATTAGGGAGTCAATGCTTCTGTGTCAATGAACATACAAGTGAATGAGAAAGGAGAAGGCTATGTTTTTTAAATGGGTCATCCTGTATTCRACAGATTTCCTGCCAACCTGTTCACCTGTTATTTGAGCAGCTGGAGAGAAAGAAAGGTTTATAGATGTGCGGGAAGACAGGCTACTTGGGTTTCACTGGAGAATGCAGGGCATACCAGTCAGCTGTCAAGTGTTATTCATAAATTTTTAGTAAAATGATATTAAATGACCATCAGCAAATAAATTTTCCCACAATGAAGTTTAGACAGCAAAGCTAATGTGAGTACTCTGAAAAAACATTCAGTTAAATTATAAACACAGTCACTTTCTAGTGTACACATTTCAGATCCAAGATACAACTTGGTTTTCTACAACCCAGTGATTCATCAAAATACTGGTCCACCCACAAAATGCAGCTTTGAGAGATTTATATGCAAAATTAATATTAAATGAATGTTAGGTGAACTTGTGTTGACCACAAAGAACCACAACACAAACAAAGATTTCTACTTACATTGAGATCCAAGTGCAATTCGCTTCTGTTTGACTTCTCTCTTTCCTCGTGAAGAAGGAATGGACAGGGTGGGCCTGCTCTGTAGCCCAGGACCCATGCACTTCCATCCCTGGAGGGAAGGTCTTTAGTTGTCTGCTCATTGAAGCAGTCCCAAGAAAAGCTCTCGGAGGAGTTACCTAAACAAACAGAGAAGATGATCATTGACACAGCCGCTGAAATGAAATGGGAAACTCCTATCCATCCTTCCATATTTGGGGAACTTCTACAAGGGCCTTTTAAGACTCTCTCTCTCTTCTCTTTCTAATTTTAGAATTTGCTGTCCTCCAAAAGTGCTTCTACCAATTACTCTTTCTGGACTAACACCAACAGAAAGTTAAAATATATGCCCTCACCACAACTTAAAAGGATAAATCTATCAGCTGTACTCTATGCTTACCAACCTGGGCTTCATGATTCATGCTAGGTCAGAATGAAATCAGGAGGAGATGCTGTTAACAGAAATCAGAAGGCCTGGGCTATTGGCTTTACTACTAATTGGTGTCACCTGAACCAAGTCACTAGTGCATCTGTTCTTCAGGAGCAGGAACTGTGCCTTGCTTTATGTTTCTGGGGACAGAATCATCATGCATGGTTTGTTGAAAGAGTGAGTGCTGTATGAGTAACCTGTTTGGGACTCACTTCAGTTGTCTCTCAAATTGAGGGTACTAAGTTGGCTCATTCTTACCAAAACTGTCAGAGTGATAATAGTACCAGGCATTGTTCTTAGCCCTGTTCTTCAATTTTTAAAATAACCTATAGTTAGGTATCATTAGTATTCCCATTTTAGATGGGGAAACTGAAGCACAAAGAAGTTAAACAATGTGCTCCAGATCATAAAATCAGTAAATGGTGAAGCTAGGATTTGAACCCAGACCATTAAACACTAGAGGACATGCTCTTAGTGACTACACTACATGGCCTCTGACTGACATTCTCAAGTTGGCAACGTCTGTTCTGCACTAGAAGGACTGTGTGGTCAGAAAAGCCACATGCTGTATCCCTTGGAGAGCAGGATTCATGTTTGCATACTGAAGACCTTGAGAAGTCCTTTGGTAAAGAAACATAACTCATTGTATAACAAAGTTTTCCAAACTTATTTGGCCACAGGATTCATTTAAAGGGATATCTGCATAATATGTTGCAGGCCATTTGTATTTTACTGGAACACCGTTGGGAGAATATTAGATTAGATCGGATCATCTCTAAAGTCCCAGATAGCACTCAAATTCCTAGACCTCTTTTAATACCTGTGTTCAACCTTGGCAAAATATTAAATAATTAGGTGGAAGTTAAAGATTTAGGCTCAGTGTACTTTTTTGTAGGAGAGATCATTGTTGGACATATGATAGGGTGTTTATTACACATACTTCTGTAAGAGTCTCTTTGGCAGTGACCCAAAGACAACCAACAGCTTCCACCACACTGAGTACCTGACTTACAAGTAACTTGAGCTGAGAATAAGTCAGCATACAAAGGGACTGTGGGATAACATGCTTCTCCCTTTATATTAGAGTAGCATTCTAGAAGAAAGAAAATTTGAAACTAGTAAGGCTTTAATTTTTGTTTGCTTGTTTGGTTCATTGGTTTTTAATCACATTTTCAAGTGAAAGTGATGCAGGTCATAATGTTTCTACAGGTGCCCTGGGAAGCTCTCTACTAACCACTTTGTTGCAGTCACTGAGAAAAATGAGAGTACAGGATCTCATAAGTCTATTCTCACCTCTGTAACATAGGGTGCCTAGAAGGTGAGACCTCTAGAGGGCCACATGCTCTAGAATGAGTGCATTTTCAGCCATRCCCCTTGCTACCTACTGTCTGCAGACAGACGGTTTCCTAAGCTTTCATTTAGGAAGCCACATGTTTTGGAGCAACCCTGCTCCAAAGAGAGAAAAAGACTACTGCTTAAAATTATCTCGGGAAGGGGGCAGACTACTAAGTACCTTCAATTTTTCCTGAGAGGAAGTCAGTGCCAGATGTACTTCAATAGATGAAGAAATTAAAGGTCATACCCCTTTAACATCTATGTATATGATTCATCCCCCTCCTAGGGTATTTCAGTCCATGATTGGCAAGAAAAGAGGAGATACACCTTTTTTGATGTATGATGTGCTTTGACCACACTAACTCACTTCCAAAACATTTAATTACTAATCAGACCCCTCATTTTAAATCCCTTCACTTTTTATTATTTGCTGGTTTTGGACAAGTTCACACATACTAATAAAAGAATATAAAACATGATATATACATCACAAAACACAGTGTACAACACCTAAGGTAAGACATCTATATCATCAGAGGCACATTGTCTGGTGAGTTAAGTTCATCATTCAGGTTTGAGAAAGTGGTAAATTCCCATGATAACAAGGGCTTAGATAAACACATGTGCACACACGCAAACACAAGCATGCCTCCAGTGGCTATCCAATACTGCAGTAATCAGGGGAGGCATAAAATCCATTCACTCTTCATGCACAGCCAAAACAATGGAAAGTTTAAGAGGAAACAATAAAAACTAACTTGGCCAGGTGCGTGGCACACACCTGTAATCCCAGAGGCTCTGGATAATGAGCAGGACGACTGAAAGTTCAAAGCCAGCCTCAGCAATTTAGTGAGGCCCTAAGCAACTTAGCAAGATCCTGTCTCAAAACAAAAAAAAAAAAAAAAAAGAAAAAAGAAAAGGGGCTCGGAATGTGGTTAAGCACCCCTGGGTCCAATTCGTAGCACCAAAACAAACAACAACAAAATTAACTTGGATTCTAGAGATGGCCTCAGTTTTAAAGAGCCAATTTCTAATTGCCTAATATTTAACCAGACAATATCCCTATGAAGAAAACATGCAAGGTAAAACCAAGATGCGGAACAATTTTGATAAGGATATTTAAGACAGGAAAGGGCCGAGGGAAGAAACAAGTAACATGAAGGCCATTATTCTCCAAAGTCAGACAAAATCAGTTAGGACACAGGACAAATTCACCTTTCCAAAAATCATTTGTAAAGTCATTTTTTGAATGCAGAGTTTTAATCATAAAAACACAAATATTTTAGTTAAAAATAATGTGTGTCTGTAATTATTGAAATAAGTAGTATCCATGTTTCCCTCTTCAGCTGAGTAAACTTGAAAGAGAAAAATTACCTGAAATTAGATAAATATATTCAAAACAGTTAATTGCCATTTAGGTTCTATTACAGATTTTAGAGTGTTAGATTTACAGGAACCTTTTATAAAAAGCTGAAAGTGTCTTTTTKATTTAATCATGTTTTCTCCTTTAATGTGCAAATTACAAATCTGCTTTATTCAATATTTGTTATTTTGTTCCTCAACAGCTTGATCAATCACACATACACACACAGGTTAATTCAACAGCCAACCATGGTTAATACAACATACAGCACAGATACACAACAGGTAGGTGACTTACCTTGTGACCATTCTGAAAGTCTGTGCTCTTTCCAACCATTCAAATGATGAGCTGCACTTCCTGGTGCTAACCTATAACACCAGTCTGGGGTTTGGCTGTCAATTATCAAAGCAATAAAAGCAGACAGAAAGAAAAGGTAATATGCCATTCAAAACAGAGGCAGTATCTATAAACCATCTTTCCAAAATGGAATCAAGCTCTCTACCTGTGGTACACTGGATTACTGCTCAACTTCTTCCCTCCCTCCCTACATTACCATTACAGACTCAAGGCCTTTTCTATTGCSTCTGTAGCTCCTTGCATTGGAGTGAAAGTTGTAGATTTCCCCATATCATGGAAGTTGAGTCTGGTCATATGACTTGTTTTGGTCAACTGAATGTGGGCAATGTGACAGGGCACCAAAGTCATAAAAGGGTGTCTTGACACCCTGCTTTGTGCTTCTGCTATCATCATGAGACAGGCATGCCCAGGGGATCCTGGAATTAGAAATGTGCCTAGATACAAATGCAGCCTAGAACCAAGTTCAGCTAAACTCACATTAAGATCAAGTGAACCTCAGTCAATTCTTGGGCCAATAAATGGGAGCAAAAAATAGCTGTTGTAAGCCATTGAGAATTGGGGTCTATTTGTTAAAATAGTTGCCTCATATACTCTATGATCTGCCCTTAACAGCAGATCTATAACTTAAAAACTTTTAACTTTTTCACTGAGGGCTTGAAGACTATAGAATTTTTATTTTGTAATTTTGTACTGAAACCAATTAATGCATGAGTTTTTGAAAAGTGAAAACTCATGGCACACCCATTTCCTCATTCATACCAAGACTGTGCACATTTCATTAAAAAACTAATTAACCTTATTTACCAGGCATTACCCTTAATATCTCTCTCTCTCTCTCTCTCTCTCTCTCTCTCTCTCTCTCTCTCACACACACACACACACACACACACACACACACACACATACATCTCTAAGAGAAGTTTCAAAACACAGCATAAAATCAGAAGATCTAGACAAAGTCTCTAAGGAATAAAATTAGAGTGCCTTTCAGGCTTTCTCTTCTAATTTTCTTGTCATGCAAAGCCCTAACTTGACAGAAATGATAAAATGGTTATGCCTCCAAAAAAAGAGGGGAAAAACACCCCTCAGCTTGAAACCCTCATGAGTTTTCATTCTTATGCTGTAGTTCCTGAGGCCATCCATCATTCTTGACTTAAAATAAAACTAAAGAGGTGAAGTTTTCTCAACCGCAAACATCAGAACTGACATGTAAAGGTAGACAGGTTGACTTCCATTATGCTATTCAAACATGTTCTTAYAAGGCAGAGAGACAGCAATCTGGACACACAACTAATAGAAAGTGACATTGTTAAGTACTGGTAGAGAGGGAGTGTGCCCATATGCATGATCATTCACATCTATGTCCAGAGCACTGGCAGTAATGGTTTCTATCCATTAGAAATCAATACTTGCCAAAGCCACTGCCCCCATTTTCATTCTCAGTGGTACCAGGTAACCAAACTAGCTATGTAGATATAATTCTGAGAAAATATCTTATCTACCCATCCCAGCCCCTAATTGTCCTCACAAGAAGCATTGAGGAGCAAAATTATGAGCTGGACTGACAGGTGGAGGGTGTGCTGCTAGGTAGAAGGAGGCTGTCATGGATGGAGAAGTAGAAAGGACTGGGGAGTAGGCTTCGGCAGCCGGAGAAT